TGCTGCACATATGCGCATATAACGTATGTCAGCTAATGCATTCGATCGGTCATGTTTCTCATAAAGCGCGTTTATTTCATAATTTCATGGAAGATTAAATTAAAAGCTGTGTTTTTCTAACACGAGATTTCTCTCTATTCGAAAATAAATTTGTGGCTATTAGATCTAATTTTTTGGCTTGTTATTCAAGATAAGATAATCATCTTCGCCTCTGTATTGCGATTTGCGCTTTTATTTATTGTATATTGTGTACAATATACAATAAATAAAATGGCCTCAATTCCAATTATATTTCATTTGTTATAGAAACTAAAAATGAGTCACGATACTAAAATATTTCTTTCTTTTTGACTACACAATACTAAATATTATTTTAATAGGTATACTTACAGATGAAACCACGCGGGCTTTGCTCAGTGTATTTAACACAAAATGTGCCAGGCATGTGTGACTCCTCGCTGTTACATTCGATAGGCACATTCCTCTCTTTGTCGAATTTCGTGTAGGCCCCACAAAGGTCCTCCTTGTCCGGATCAGTGTCAGAGCTGCATTGGTAACAGCGTATTGCTTTAGTACCTGCGCATTCCAAAACAACGTAACCGTAACAGCGTTAACCGTATGTTCGAGTCAACCTGAGGTATCTAATTAAAGTAATTAATTAAAGCAGAACCGTTGATTAATCTGAAGAATTACCAGTCCGCGGTAAACTAATCATATGTGGAGTATTATGATTGGAGTAATTGATGGAAGAACCTCAATTCCTAACCTAGAAATTATTAATACAGAGAAAATATTTCTATATTACGTTTTTAATCTCTTTTCTACAGTTTTGCAGAGAAACGCTGAATTTTCTTTGTTGTCATTCCGTTTCTACTTTTAACTATATCTGTGATAAATTATATTCCTCAGGAAATGTAAATATTTTTATACTCATGTCCCCCATTGTGCGTATATTATTTATCACATTATTATATTCTCTAAAAAGATATTCGAATGACATCCAAATATTCTCGAATAAGTCTACAGATGATTAAAATAATTAAAGGATCATATGGAGTCGTTGAAAAATTTTCACGCCCATCAGTAAACAACCAAGAATGGGTCATAGGTTTGTTTCCAAAATGGCGATCGCAGGTGGCATTTGCCGAATTGCTTTAAGCACGTTTCTCCTTCGATTTATCCTCGGGATCTTCGTTTGGGAAGTCTCACCTGTCGTGGCAAAGAACAACAGCACGCACAACACAATCGTGATATCCTTGCGCATCATCGTTACGTCGCTCTCTCGGTTTTTCTTTTCGGAGCAATTGACGCGAGCAATTGACGCGCGTGTTCCACCGCACTGCACGTACGCACCTGACGTCATTCATTGGGCGTAACTGCTATGAGATAAGTCGACGATCTCCCTCTCTCGACCTACGATCCCCTCCCTTAGGCTTCCTGCCAACAACGGATCGTGATGCGCAAAGACCCCGAGTCTATATAATGATTCGCAGTGCCCTTTCGGAGTAATCTTCAAAGTTTCAG